CTCTCTCTCTCTCTCTCTCTCTCTCTCTTACAACATGGCAGTGCCACTCACCGCAGAACTGCGGCACCCACAGCTCCATGCCGGCGCGCTGGCACATCTCGACGTAGGCGGCCGCGGGCGCGCACAGGGCGCGGTCCCTCGCGGGGCTGTTGGCCTGCTGCTTGACGTCCGCCTCGCAAAGCGCGCGGAACGGCGCGGGGTCAACGCGCGGGAAGCACGGCGCCAGCGACGAGTCGCTGTCCTGGAGCGGGGAGAGATGGGGTGAGCTCTCTGGCGGGGGGCCCGGATGGGCCGGCCGCCCCGCAGGCGAGCGCAGCGGGCGGCCTACCCACCCGCTCGCAGGCGCTCCGACCAACCGGGGGCGGGGGTAGGCCGGCCGCTCCGCAGACGAGCGCGGCGGGCGGCCTACCCACCCGCTCGCAGGCGCTCCGGCCGGCCAGGGGCTGGGTTAGGCCAGCCGCTCCGAAGGCGGGCGCGGCGGGCGGCCTACCCACCCGCTCGCAGGCGCTCTGGCCGGCCGTGGGCTGGGGTAGGTCGGCCGCCGCGCAGGCGAGCGCAGCGGGCGACCTACCTCTCTCCTCGCAGTGTGCACGCTCTGTGGGTCCCCCGTGAAGCAGTGCTTACCAGGAAGTAGGACGCGCACAGTTCCTGCGCCTCGCGGGCCAGCCCGCGGTCCACGTGCTTGGCGGTCTCGACGTGGTTGGCGGGCCGGCACTGCTTGCGCCCGACGCGCCACGCGTCCGCAAAGCCCTCCAGGTTGTCTGGGCCGGTGAGCTCGCCCGTCGGCAGCGCCAGGTCGTTGGCGGGCTCGTTGTCGTAAGTGCCGAGCAGGCCGCCCGTGCGCCCGAAGTGCCAGCCCGTGATGTCGAGCGCGCACACGTCGTAGCGGAGGTTGCAGTCGACCGTGAGTCCGTGCTGGCTCGTCACCCGCACCCGGTCGCCGTCGCGCGTCACGGTCGCCGAGTCGCCCACCAGCACCGGCGTCTCGACCTTTTTGCCGTCCACTAGGACGCGGTGGTTGGCCGTAATCTCGATGCTGTGGCCGTCGCTCAGAACGGTCAGGGACTTCTTTTGCACCTTGCGATTCTGTGACGAGAAAGTGGTATAAGTAATCGAATTTCAGTGGTTGATGAAGAGCTTTGTTCTAAATTTAACTTACACTTATTTCGTAGTTCACGATGGCGGAGAACTTAGAGTTGACGAAGTCGGAAGTCAGGAGGTACGAACACTCGCCGGCAAAGTCATAGAACTGCTTGTCGAAGGTCATAAAGTGGTGACGGCCGACCAGCAGGGCAGTGGCGCCGTACGGTGGCAGGAAGCGCGACAGTTTGACGCCAGCACGGTACTCGTTGAGGGCGTCGAGCAGGTAGTACCTGTACTTGTCCAGGGAGCTGATGTCAGCAGTTTGTTCGACGGCCACCCGGTAGGGGGACAGCTCCTGGAACTCGGGCAGGCGGTCAAAGCCGTGCCAGTGCACCGGCAGAGACTGCGTGTACTCGAACAGGCCCTTTTCCTTGTCCAGGTAGAGGCTAGAGGATGGCTCCAAGGTTGGAGTCGCCGAGGCGCTGGCGTCCATGTGGTTGACTAAGTCCGATAGGCCCAGCTCGACCTGGTGCAGCAGCCACAGCAGACCTTCGCCGATCTCCTTGGTGACGTCGTAGTAGCGCCAGGCCCACAGCGCCTTCTGGTACACCTTGCCGGCGAGCTTGCGAACGTACGCGACGGGCGGCAGCTTGTTCAACGCCTCGTAGCGGCCGAAAGCGGCGTCGTACAGCGCGTCGAAGTAGGCCTTGTAGTCGGAGTAGGTCTGACGGAGGTCGCGCACCACCCACTCGGCAGTGCTGCGGTAGTGGGAATAGCGTTACACGAAAAATAGGTTCTTGATAACTAATTATCTAGCTATGTAGATTAAAAAATGTTATGGTACTCAGCTATTTTTAGCAACAAATCTCAGTAATTATCTCCCGTACAATAAGCTTAGATACTACAGCTCTAATGTTTTTGTGGACCCCTTATAGGTTCCTCCCCGCCCCGATACTCACTCGCTCAGTTCGGCCAGCCAGCGGTCAAAGTAATCCTGGATGTGGAAGTCCTCCAGCCAGGACGCGTACTGGGAGTACAGGTTCAGCAGCTCGCGCACTTCGTCCATGCTGAGCAGGTGCGTCTTCACGGCCTCGACGAACGCCGATATGTGCTCCTGGATCTGGGTGACGTGGTAGTTGACGTAGAGGAACACGTCCTGCGCGGTGAGGAGGGCGGGCACAACGGCACGCTCCACGCGGCGGCGGACGTCCTCGACGAAGGCGTCCCAGGCGGCCATCTGGTCGGCCACAGCGTCCTCGAGGCTGGCCAGGGTGTCGTGCGCCGAGCGCAACACCTCCCGCGTCCAGCGGTGCGTCGCGTTGCGCACGGCGGCAATGTCGGTTAGCGTGGCGTTCCAGTGCACCATGGCGTTCTGGCCTAGCGCCTTGATGACGGGTATCACGTCCATGATGCCGGAGACGTCAAAGTACAGGATGTCCATCACCATGGAGGTGAATCCCTTGAACGCGGAGTATGCTGCATCCAGCAGTTCCATGGAGTGCTTTGTGACGCAAGAAGCGCCGGAGCTGGCCATGGACCTGTAAGACGTTTAACCATTAGAACGACAAGTTAAATAGACATATCTTTCTATTTCTAACTCCAAAATACTTACGCTGTAGATGTAAAGAAGTTCCAGATATCTTTGACGAAAAAGTCGTTGTGCTCGAAGTGCTCCTTTAGTTTACTGAGTATGTTGGGGAAGTCTTTCGTAATTGCCTCCCGCTCTTCATTATTGTACTCAATGACAACGTCAAGTGTGCTGATGACTTTCGGGTAGATAATTTCCCATTTGTTACCGACGTCCTCCCGCAGGAAGTCTGTGAAGCCGTCGTAGATGGCGCTGCTGGCGAGGAGGAGGTCGTTGTAGTCCTGGAAGACGGCGGTCTGCAGCTCGTCCAGGACGCCTGGGCGCCAAGACGCGCGCGTCCAGAAGAGCTTGCTAGTGTTGAGCTTCATGGCGAATATGCCGTCGATGGTCTGCGAGCCAAACAAGTTGTGCTTGGCGCTCGCCTTGATCTCGCGGTGGTTGGGCATGCCGGCGAACAGCGTGTAGGTGCGACTCTCTCCATACTGGACGTCCACATTGATGGATGGTGAATCATCTATGGCGTTAAGGTTTGCCTTGATACTCAAGGGGTCACGCTGGTTCATCTGCACGCTGGCAGACATACCCCGGTATGTTCCTGTCCCCCGAGACCACAGCTTGCCGTTCACGATAATCTTGTTTTCGTTGGTGTAGATGCCAGCCTCGAAGGCGGGCTCTGTGTGCTGCACCTCTCCGCGCACCTCGAGCACGCGATCCTGGCCCGTCCGGCTGTCCAAGTACTTGACGTTAATCAGGCCCGTGCTCTTCCCCGGCGTGTTGACGCCAGCCACTTTGACGCGCACGTCCACATTGGAGCTGTCGTGGCGCACCATGAAGCTGGTCAGCAAGTGGCCGCCATCGTCCTTGTAGCCACCTTCGAGGATGATCAAGTCTTCGGGCTGTCCAGAGTACTCCAACTCTGCTCGCACCTGGTGAAGGCTGTGCTTGAAGCGGAGCACCAGGTCGTGTTCCAGGGCAGCGTGGTGCAGACGGAACTCTCCCGAGCCAGAATCACGCACCATCAGAAGAAGGATCTTTTTGTCGCGGTCCTGAGAGGCGTCCCAGAGGAACTCGGTGCCATCCCGTTTGACTTTGAGCTGGTTGTCCTCAGAAGAGACCTCGACGTCGCGGTACACTTCTAGAGTACGACGGGGAAGGCGCAAAATTCCGCGGCTCTGGACCCTCGTGGTTGAGTCGTCTTGGCTGACGTCGCGGTCCTGGGCAAAGGACAGACCGTACACCTGGTCCTTCTCGATAGACATTTCGAGTCCCATCTCCCGGCGAGTCAGGCTCCTCTCGAGCACGCCGCTCAAGGTCATGACCCTTGTGGGCACCTGCAGTGTGGAGGTGAACTCCTTCCGCGGGTCGGTCCAGTTGGAGGCGTGCATGGCGTACCTGATCATAGAGTTGTCCTTGGCGTTCATGTCCCAACAGACCTCAGCAATGAGGTTCACCTCAGGAGTGACGGCGAACAGGTAGCTTGCTGACACTGGTCGCCACGAGTTTCTGATCTCGAAAGTAGAGATGTTTGCTTCATCGCGGCGGATGCTGACTCCCAGGTACTCGTGGGTGTTGTGCACGATGCGCGCCTCGGTGCCAATAAGCTTCTTGTTCGTGGCCTGCAGAAATATCTCTGCATCGCGGATGACATCGAACGGCGTTTCAAGTTGCAGCGAGACTTCAATTAGTTCGTCGATAACGCCACCCTTTGCTTGGAAATACAACTGTTTTGCGTTTACATTAGCCTGTATCTCGGACATTAAGAGCCCTGGCTTAAGCATCCCCTCAGCGGAGAAGGAAACCTCTTCCTTGTTGTATCGGGCGAACAGCAAACCAGTGTAGCTCTTGTTTGCTGCGTTCAGTTTGTTGCCGAAGAGTAGAGAGGCGGACTCAAATGAAGGGTGAATGTCAGCGGTGACCCTCGCAATCAAGTTTACGTTGGACATGCCGTTGAAGGTGTAATCGAACTCTACGATTAGGTCCTGCTTCAGCTGTGGGTGTGATATCTTGATGGACAGGGCCTTTCGATTGTTGTTCTCGATCATGAGGCTCAGAGCGTAGCGCTCGTAGGTCACGAATGGCGTAGTAAGCTGCACGCTTGTCTCGAACTTGCGTGACGCGGCGAGCATAGAATAACGCAGCTCAATTCTTTGTTCGTTCCATTCTACGTAGTTAACAATGTCATTGCCGTCAATCAGGCTTTTCTGTCCCTTAAGGTCTAGGCGGTAGTGGTTGTAAGGAGCAAAAGGCGTGTTAACTTCTGCCTCCAGGGCATACACTGGTCCGTACACGAGCGTGAAGGCGGCGCCCAGCTTCCTTTTCTTGCACTGAGCTCCCACGCTCATCTCTAGGCGGTCAGCCAGGTTCTGGAATAGAGCGTGAGTGGCGTAGGTCGCACCGCTCGGCAAGGTGGCACGCACATGCACGTCCATGTCCTTGGTGAGCACGAGCGGGATGCGTGCGGATGCCTGGAGTGACTCAAGCCCCTCGATCGGTGTCTGGAGGTTAAACTTGGCCAAAAGCTCGGTAGCGTTGAGGGAGAACAGCGATAGGACTTGCAGGTTAGCGTAATCTGACTTAAAATCGACACCAAGGTTCAGTTTTATGTTGCGGGCGTTCTCGACAACGAACTCGCCATTCATGCTGAGTAGGCGTATAAACGGAACAAGGGGAGCCTTGAAATTAAGATGCGCTTGTCCCTTTTCTCTGTTTAAAGCAGCCTCGAGGAGTACGAAATGCTCTTTCATGTCCTCGCCTGTTCCAGCGTATGCCAGTATGGAGTCGGCGCCAGTTGTCAGGACAGCCTGGAATACTTTCGACCCAATGAACGGAGTTACGACGGTGAGTTTTGAGTCCAAAGGCAATGTTCTCTTGTGGCGAATAGTCATATGGTGTTTGGATTCTTTCAGCTGTACTGAAATCTCGGCTTTTGAATTAATGTTGTCATAGAAAGCGTCAGCATCCAATCCAAAAATCAACACTCCGACCGAAACTACCTCCAACTTCGTGGTTGTTGATTTACCATCTTCTCCAAGTGCCAGGGTCAATGATCCTCTGTGATTTGCTGCTCCGATAATACAATCAATTTCGGCAAATACTCGATTTGTTTCTTGGACAAAGTTGCCGTTCACTGTCATTTTCTGTGCCTTAATTAGTGGAGATTCCATTTCAATACTGCCACCCATACCTTTACTTTCATCCATCAAGTATTGCATTCTGTGCGTTGTTTGCTTGTACTTCAATGTTATTGATCCCAAATTCTTGTTTTTATCCAAAAGCAAAATATCATTTAGATTCACAGTTAATTTTTCCCAATTTTTCTGAAGCTTCATTTCAGCATTTTTCTCTCCAAGAATGGGTCCACTTGTGTGCCCACTGACCTCTAGAAGCTCTCTGTTGTTAACGAGAGAGACTGATAGAAGATGTTTTACATTCGATTCTAAAGTTATCAAGGCACTGTAAGAGTTCTCGGGAAATTTAAGGCTCACTTGCAGAGTCCGCCTTGTGGGGCCAATCCAGTCGGGGAGATCTAAGTCAACTCTCGTCGATACAGAATCAGATTTGTGATCCATTGATAGTGAGACAGAACCAGAATGCTGCTGGCAATTGTAAGAAACAAATGCTTGAATTGTAGGACTATATTGTGCTTGAAGTTCTAGACTAGCAACCCTGACCTTAAATGCTGGTATATTTAGGTTGATGCTACCCGTAATAGCCGTGTCTTTGAGCTCATAGTTCATCGAAATATTGTTGCTCCCAAAATAGGCCTCAACTTTTACTTTGTCGAGATTTTCATAATCCAAATTTCCACCAAAAGACAGCTCAGTGTTTATCACAGGGGTTTTTAAGACACACTTTGCTTCCAAGCTGAGATCTTCTAGGTGGTAGTGGCCGCCGACGTGGTAAGTATTCTTTGGTAAAAGAACCTTAATCTGTGAGTCTACACTTCGCCACTCACGCTGGTTTAAGCTTCCCTCGATAGTGATTGGCGGAACTTCGAGGAATGGGATCAAAACTTGTAGCTTCAAATTCACATTCTGAAGAGCATCGTTGGAAATGTTTGCACCAACTATCATCTCTCGCCCAAGTGCTGTCGCTTCTATCAATCCACTCATTTGTCGGTAATCATCGTTTCGAAGGACCAAAGTTGAGCGTAGTTCCGGCAGCATTTCAAAGGGAGTCACAAGGACGAGGCGGGACCTCAACTGGCCTCTGTTGGACATATCCAACGCAAAATCAAGCTCCATTCGACTCATTTGTGGGAACGGAGTATACAGACGGAACCTGCATGAAAAACAAATCATTAGCTCTGATGTTACAATACACACTATTCATTACATATGGAAGTCTACTTACTTGCACTGTATGTTGTTCAAATTTTCTCCTCCCTCCACTTGGACAGTAGCATCAAGGTCAATTTTTTGATTTCCATTCCACTCTAGGTGACCTTTGACGCCGAAATCACTTGGTTCACTGTTCAATGAACCGATAAGCTTAATTTCGAACTCGTTCCAGTTTGCTCGGCTTTCAAGATCGTACACAGCCAGGTCGTTTCTTGTGTACTGTCCCGAGAGTTCAACTGTTTCCCACCGTTTAAAAGGAGTTTCCAGCTTAACGAGAAGCTTGTTGGCGCGGACACCTGCTTGTGCTACTGCCTTTTCAGTAGGTGACCACTGTCCTAGGAAGAAAGCTGTTAAATTTTCAGTGTCTACGACAGTGCGCACGGCCAAATGCTCCAATACTTTGATGAATGGTGACTTCAATGTGGCGTTCACAGAATATAGAGGCCCAGTTAAATCATATACACCTTCGAATTCAAACTTGCTGGCCTGAGTGCCAACAACAAAATTCAGTGAGTTTTTGTCATACCTCGTGATTACAAACACATTGTCAATTTTCTTTCCTGGCATTTCAATCCCCAGCTGCGCTCGCACATTCCCTGGAGCATAGTTTCCAGTTCCACGAATCTGATATAGGGCGTCGTTGCGCAAATAATTAAGATTGCCTCTCAAAAATCCAGAGGGATTCTTGTGTAAGTTGATTCCAACGTCCATTGTTTTGATAGTTGGAATAGACGAATCAATTTTCAGGGAAGCATACACACTGTCACTTTTCAACCCTCCTTCAACCTTTGACTTGAGGCTTGTCTCTCCAACTCTCATGACGAGGTGTGCGTGTTTGTTACCGTTTGAGCCATTAAGGTTGTATCCTGCACGAATGTCGACACCTTTGTAGTCGTCTTTAGACGACTCAAAGTGTATATCGAGTTGGTTTTCTTTTCTCTCATATCGCAGCTTTCCTTCTACTTTTGTCTGTTTTCGTTTGTCCTTTACATGCATGACGACATGGTGGCCGTCGTTTTCCTTGTAACTTCCTGAGGCAGACAAGTACTCAGTAAATGGTGTCTTCAACGCAATATCAAAATTAATAACGTCGCTTTTCGACAGGTCGAAATTGAAGTTGACGTCGATCTCGTCATTTTCTTTCTGAGCGTTAAACTGTCCTTTTTTGGATGATGTGCTAAGATCAAGAAGGTAGACTGCTTTCAAAGCCTTAAAACCCTTGAAGGGTGTTTTGCTCTCAAACGATAGGTGTGTAGGTATCCACGTCAATGCTGCTTCGACTCTTTCATGTCCATTCCATTGGACCACCGCATTTGACTCAACACCCTTTGTTCTGTTGAGCATACCACTGACCTCCCATTCACGGCCGTCTAGTGCGGTTACTGCAAACTTAGCGGAGTGCTCTTTCTTTTCAGCTTTGAATGACAAGTAAATTGCAGCAGTCTCAGCTTCCTTCGTAAACGACGCCTTCGCTAATTTGACACCTCCGTCCAAATTATAAGTGCCACTGAGCTTCAAGAAATTTAAACCTGGCTGGGGTGTCGTTAGAGTGAATTCGACTTCTAGGTGCCTAATGCTATACTGAGCAACATTCCCCTTCAATTCGTATTTGTCGTCTCCAAGCTGGAAGAGAGCTTCCAGTAGTCCAGCCTGATCTTGCTTTAGCGTGAATAGAAGTGGTGGAGTAAAAGGAGTTGTGAACACAACTTTAGACCTTGTATGTAGAGAACTGTGACTAAACATGCTGTTTAGGATAATCTTTTTGGTAGGGTCCCATTCTAATTCTGATGTTAAAACCAACTCATTCTCATATGTTACAACTGAACTGAATCTTACATTCTCGAGATTACGGAAAGGTGATGTCATAGTAAGGCCAAGTTTTACCGGCTTCTTAGACTCTCCGATCTCTAAGTTACCTTCCAGTTTTATCTCTTTTCCAGGGCCCCACTGTAACCCAATATTACCAGCAATCACATTACTGCGCGCCATGTTCCATTGGGCAGTCAATGAGTACGTCTGGGAGTTCAAGCTTGTAATCGTTACTTCCGTTTCCACATTCTTAAATCCATCTAAGTACATGGATGCAATAGCCTCGATCTTTCTCCCCTTTCCAGTATCAACTGAAAACGCAGCTTTCTTGTGTTTTAGACCGTTTTCGAGTTGCCAATCGACTTTCACTCTTTTTGCTTCATTCTGTGTTTCGTAGGCGACAACAAGATTTCCCTCCTTATTTTTCACAATCACTGAATTGACTTCAGCTGCAACTCCAGCCATTTTGATCGAGGATTTAATGTTCCATGTGTTCGTTGGTGCAGCATAATCGTACTCGCCGATGACGCCGAACGTTGCGAAAGGCAATGGAGTTTCCGAGATAATTTCTATGCTTGATTTGGATCCGCCATATGTGAACGAAAATCTTGCGTTGATACATCTTTTGTCCTCGAAATCACCGACCAATGTTATCTTTTTCTGTCCCCTCTTGTCGAAATCATAACTTCCCTCAATTCTGACATCTTTGTAGCCGTCGTGGGGTGTCTTTACCCCGACGACAGCATCTCCTACTAGCCCAGCAACCAAAACGTCTCCAGAAAACGAGTAGATATTTTCATTCCGTTCCATCTGTACCGTAGCCGATTTCCTTGGGCTTTTTACGTCGTATTTGACGCCCAGGAAGCACTTTTCGTAGTTCTTAAGTGAAGTTCGCACGGCAATATGTGAATCGCCAGACTCATAGCCATACTTGATCAGAATGTCAAGGTCAAAAACGTTATCATTTCGGCTAGCTGACAATTTAAGAGAGCTGTTGCTGGCCTCTTTAATGTTGAATTCACCGTACGCTTTTAGGTCTTCCAGCTCTTGAATAGGTGTTTTCATCCATGCCTGAGCATAATTCTTTCCATGTTTCCATCCAAGCCCAACATGTTCATAGTTCTCAAATGGAGATTTAGCTTCAACATTGATTTTATTATCTGCAGAATCGAATAAGAACTCCCCACTAAATACTATCCTATCGTTAGCGGCGTAGGATCCACGAATGAGAATCTCTCTCGGGTAAAACTCAAGTTTTCCCTTTCTTTCTTCCTGTTCATACATTAGATATGAGGTTGCAGTGAAGCCACCATTGTATGTGTTGAAGATATCATTCTTTATTTCCAGTGTCATGTCTCCGCGGTTCTTGAGAATGAGCCGTACCATTCGAGGGGGGAGGCCCGGTAGCAGCACAAAGTCCACGGACAGGTCATCGAAGTACCCACCAATAAGAGGTATGTCAACTACTGCATCCAAATGAATTTTGCTTTCCCAGTTCAGGTTCAGTATGCCCCCAGTACGTAGGAAAGTTTTTTCGTTTGCCTTAATTGCGAGGTCTACACTGTAAGATTTGCTTTTCTTCATTAGTCCGCCATAGTTTAAGACGATGACTACCGTCTCGAAATCTTTTACTGGTGTCTTCATGTTAATTTTAGCCACTTGGTTCTTGTTTGAGATCGAAATTTCGAATGATTTCTTCTTCCCATTGGTCTCCAGAGAAATTGCAGCTGACTTGGCTTCACCGCCGGAATACCTCCCAGCAAGGGTAACATCTTCATAGCCTTCAAACGGCGTTTGAACCCTAACGTCAGCGCCGTCCTCTTGGATGGACATGCGGCCCGAAAGAGATTGCGTAACGCCGTCCTTCTCGCGAGAGACGCCTGCTGAGTAGTCTTCGTTAAAATCGTAGGAACCCTTGTACGCCAGTGAGCTAAAATCCAGAAATGACGTTGACAGTTTAATGTCAGCTTCTCCAGATTTGAGCTCCATTAAAGCCTGAGCAGATGTATCGAAAATATTTTCCCTGTTCTTTGTTAATCTGAAGAGTGCTATTTTCTTGAGGCTCATCAGATCATATTTTGCTACTAGTTGTATTGTTTGCCATTCTTCAAACGGTGTGCTTACATCAACTGTCACATCAGAAATGAACTTCTGTAAATTAGCTTTTATGTTAAGATTTGAGTCAGCGTTGTTGTTTTTCACTTGGATAAGAATGACCCTCTTGTCGTTCTCAGAGGTAACTGAACCAGAAACGAAAACATCTTTGAATCCATCTTTAGGAGTGATAAACCACGCCTTCAGTTTGTTTTTCTCCATTTCAACCTTCGCGCTCAAAATTTTTTCAGCTCTGTTCATAAGAACTTCGAATTCCGCAAACTTTGAAGTTCCACGGCAGTCGAACTTACCCTCTACGTCGATTTTTGGGACGCCAAACGATGGCAGGGTGATCTCTGCGTGCGCTTGGCCGCTCTTTGGGCTACTAGCCTTGCTTTTGAACTCGATGGCGTTGATGTTACCTCCCACCGTACGGTGCTCAGCTCTCCCACTCTTGATGTCTCCTGCCACGTCGTACTGGAACTCACTCTCGAAGCCCTCGTAGCCGTCCAGAGGCGTGGTAACTGTAATGGACCCGGAACTTTTGAGCCGCTGGACGTTCATCTGCCCGGACGCGTTGAAGTGAAACTCGTTCCTGTGAAGCGAGACGCTAGCCCACTTTTGCTGGAGCTGCGGACTGGTCACGTTGAGGTGACCGCCGATGGACTGGAAGCCTTCGAAAGGAGTTACCAGAGCCGCCGAAATCGCGACGCCACCCTCCTCGGGTGTCACAACGTTACCAGACAGAGAGACTGCCTTATCGTTGTTGGTTAGCACGACGTTTACTGATCTCTTTTCTTTGCCGAGTTCCTGCTTCAAGCTGGCCATGAGCTCCTCCAACCCCTCGTACGGCAGATTCAATTGCAGCATCGCTTCTCCTTCCCCGTTCTCGTCCAGGTTACTCATCCCGTCAAACACTACTACCCACTCGTTTCTTGTGGCCTTGAAAATTACTTTCTGATGTTTACCCTGAAGATCGTAATCGAAGTTCATCGACATGCGCTCGTGGCCCTTGATCGGGGAAAGCAGCTCGATGTTTGCAAGGCCGGAGAGATCGTTGGTGACCAGGTTGCCGACCAGCTTCACATCAAACTCGGTCTGTCCGTACGATACCTCTACAGTGTGAGCGTTTCCACCGTTTCTGTTGTAGGCGGCGAGGAAGTCGGCCGAGTTGATCCCCGGGAGCTTGCTGTCGAGCGATAGGCTGAGTCTTGGTGCTTTCTTGTCGATGACGGCTGAGCCGGAGAGAATCAAGTGGGACTCGCCCCTGTGAAAGGACACGACGGCCAGCTTGGTCGGCTTCGTCAGGTCGATGTCACCCTCCAGGCGCATCGCATCCCACTCACGGCTTATCGGCAGGTGGTACTCGAATCCGCCCTGGAACTTGTCCGGGAGGGCACCGCCGCTGCCTCGCACGAACCACTCGCGCCCGTCAATCTCGATGGAGAGCTCGGCCGCCTTGATGGGGGCCATGAGGTCATACTTGCCCCTAACCTGAAACACGTCCATGCCTAGGTCCGGTCGGTTCATTTTAACGGAGAATCCAGATTTCAACTTGCCCAATTCGCCGCTCGCCTCAATTTCCATTTCTTTTCCTTCCCAGGTGACCATCATTCGGGTCGATTTGGGAGTTTTCTGGAGGTCAACGTCAGCGTCCACCCGCACTGGAGGGCAGAATGGAGCGTCGAACTGGAGATCGAAGTGGGCCCCGTCCTTGTTGAAGCGGACCAAAGACACGGCGCTGATAGTCTTGTCCTTGTAGTTGAGGACTAGTCGTGGCCTGCAAGTGTTCTTCGCCTCGAAAGGTATATCCAACTTTAGCTTGATGGGCTCTGAGAATGGTGTGGTGATGGCTGCCTCAAGGTTCTTGATGTAACCAGCTGAGTATTTGGTGTAAGACAACCCGGCCGTGGCTTTCTTTCCGTTCAGAGTGGCGGTCATGCTGTGTTCCAGCTCGGTGTCGTCGAAGGACTTGCTGTGCGCGTTGACGATGGAGCCAGTCTTAGAGGGCGTCTTGACCGTAATGCTGTTCTCCCAATGTGTCTTGTCGTCGAATGTGAGACTGTGCGACAGGAAAATGCCCCCGGGTAGCGCCACGTTTGTGATGTAGAATGCGTCAGATTTGTAGCGGTGGTGCAGCACGACCATGAGCTCCCTCGGCAGGACGGACCCCTTCAGGGTCATCTTGTGGTCGAACGAGAGTGTGGAGTCGTCCTTGCGCTGCAGGCTGTTCTCGACGCGCAGGGAAACGGTGTCCTGGTTCCACTTGCCGCTCAGTTCCGTTGTCAGACCAACCGAATCCACCTGACTCAAGATGGTCGTCTCGATTGAGTGGCCAGGAAAACCCACTTTACCCGTAACGTCAACAAGTTTGGGGAACTGGATGTCGCCCCCGACGTCCACCAAGACGACGTTCTGGCTGGCGTACGTTACGCGTAGGACGTCTCTGACTTTGCCGGTTTTGGTACTGTGCTCTGCCGTCATCTTCATGGGCTCCGTGAAGGGCGTCGTCATCTCTGCCTTGCCCTTGAGGAGGGCGTCGGTGCGCTGGCCCTCCAGGGCCACGGACACGGCCTTGCGGTTGAACTCGGCGCGCAGGTCCACGTTGGCAGAGCCGCTCGTCGTGCTGTAGAGGAACTCGGCCAAGCTGATCTCGTAGCCCTCGAAGGGGGTGGCGACCTGCAGCAGGGCGTGCGGGTTGCGGCCCAGCATGAGCTCAAACTGCGCGCCGGCGCGCCGCTCGGGCGCCCAGCTCACCTCCAGCTCTCCGCGGTCACCGTACACGTCGTTCTCCAGGGCAAACTTGGCGGCCAGCGAGCGCGCCAGCTCGAACGGGCTGACGAAGGACGCCGTGCCGGACACGCCAATGTTGGTGGCGAGCAGGAGCGCTTCGGCGGCCGTGCGGTGCCCGTTGTAGTCGAGGGCGGCGCGGCTCTGCATGTCGCGCGTCGTGCCGTTCTTGACGTCGGTGTGGCTCACGGCCAGGGTGACGTTGCGCAGGATGGCGAGCGAACTGGTGACGTGCGCCGTGGCCCGCAGTCCCCCGTCCAGCGTCTCGCCGAGCGCGCTGACGGACAGCATCTGGTCGCGCCACGTCAGGTCGACGCGCGCGTCCGTGCTGTTGTCCTCCAGGACGTACAGGGCGGCCAGAGTCTGCAGCTTGTAGCCGTGGAACGGCGTGGTGAGGCGCGCCGAAACCCGGCCCCCTTGCGACGCCAGCGCCCACTCGGTGCTCAGGGTGATGCGGTCGCCCTCGGTCCACTCCAGCACGGAGGTGAAGCCGTTGGGCCTGCGGATAGGAAGACGCGGCTGATTATGTCAATAAGTTTCCTCCGCCAAACCATCAAATTAGCAGGAAATAGACTGCTTACAGTTTGGTGACGTGAAGTTTGATGTACTGGTCCGGGAAGGCGAGCTCGGCCTGGTTGGACTCGGAGTCGGCCTCGGCGTGCAGGGCTACCCTCTTGCTGGGGTCCACGTCCTTGTCCCAGAACATCTCGACCGATACGACGTGCTTCTCGCCGTCGCACGAGATCTGGAACGAGATATTAGTCTCCATTAGCCGCTCATGTTGCGGCCCGGGCCTCGATCGGCCGGCGATATCCGCGCGCGGGCGTGGAGCGTTTCGGGACGGGGCGACTGGGCCCGTGCGGACATGATTTAGGGGGAGCACTGTGTACACGTTATTTACGGCCCCGGCTTTTGCACGCGACTCTGCAGGGTCATCAATAACACTTTACAAACCTACTGTGATGCGGATGGTCACGTGACGAGATGCATTAGGTCATTCAACACTGCACCCCCCCCC